GGTGGAGCTACACCTGTATCGGTGGAGCTATGATGTCACACCTGTGTGGGTGGAGCTATGATGTCACACCTGTGTGGGTGGAGCTATGATGTCACACCTGTATGGGTGGAGCTTAACTCTGTTGTGTTTATCTGCAGATGTTCAGGTGCTGCTGATGTCAGACATCTTGGTTTTCCTTCAAGAAAAAGATCAGAAGTTCACGTTTGCATCACATGTAAGTCACCTGAGCCCACGTGGCTGCACCTCATAACACCAGGTGACACCTGATCAGACTGGGTGACACCTGATCAGACTGGGTCACACCTGGTCACACCTTGTCACATGGTCATACCTGGTCACTTATGAAGCTGAACTACTTCAGGTTCAGTTTGGGTTTCATCAGTTTGGAGTTTTGTCCCTGAGTTACATGACCTTTGTTTTTAGGACTAAGGGACAATCTCACCTGTCCTCTCACCTGTCTGTTCTTCTACCTGTGTTTCTCAGGACAAGTCTCCGGTGGTCTCCCTGAATAAACTTATTGTCAGAGAAGTAGCCAATCAGGAGCGAGGGATGTATCTGATCAGTGACTCCACTCCTCCAGAGATGTACGAGCTGTTTGCTTCGTCCAAAGAAGACCGGAAGACCTGGATGACCCGCATCCAGCAGACCGCTCTCAGGTCAGTACTGCAGGGTACTGCAGAGTACTGCAGAGTACTGCAGGGTACTGCAGAGTACTCACAGGTACGTTACAGGACTTAAAGGTTTTAGAGTGTTGTCTTCTTTCTGCAGCTGTCCCTCCAGAGACGAGTTTCCACTCATTGAGACTGAAGACAAAGCGTTACTTCGCCGACTCAGAGGTACTGCACCTCCTGCTGCACCTCCTGCTGCACCTCCTGTATCTCCTCTTGTTTTAAATTAAAAGTATTTCAGTTCTGTTAGTTTGTGTAGCAGCTTCTCACAGCTCTGTGGTAATATGACCCTTCAAACACATCATTTTTGTTCTGGAACTTGTGTGAACATGAACAGTGTGTACTGACATACGGTCTGTTGGTCAGGGTCAGGGTTAGGTAATGGTAATGGTAATTGGGGATGGGTACAACCCAGGTGAGCGGGGGCCTCATAAGTGGGCCCATTGCTCTCCCCAAAAGATACTGGGCTTTAATCAAAGCTTTTTGTCCCTCGGATGAAGGACACCAGGTTAGAAACCCTCAGTGTTCTAAGCTTCTCAGGATCCA